CTCTCTCTCTCTCTCTCTCTCTCTCTCTCTCTCTCTCTCTCTCTCTCTCTCTATCTATCTCTCGTTGCTCGTTCGAGCGACGGAACCCGAGATAATTGCGCGAGGCAACGTTAACCGATGAGAACTGTAGAACATTAATCATGAGGCACCCGTCTCGGAACTCGCGAACTAAACGTGCGAAAATGTTTAATGCAATAATCGCGGTCCTTTGTTGCTGTCGAACATTTATGTACCTTTCTAAGTACGTTTGTCAGAATAAATTTCTCGATGTTTAGACTCGTACCAATGGATGGCTCAGGCACGGTTACATGGGAGGAATTCCTTGAGAATGCAGAAAGGTTTCTTGTTGTTTCAGACAAGATATCGGACGGATGGGAGCTTCACGGGAACAAGGTACATCGTGTACCATCGAGTTACTTATTCGTGCGAATTACATGCAGATCGAACGGACGCATGAAGTATGCAAATTGAATCATTCGATTAACGTTATTAATGGATTTCACAATTATGCAGTCTATTCATCCATTGTTTATTGTATAAACACACGAAATATAAAACTTTGTAAAAATTTCAAGTCGAGTAGTATTTTAAAATTTTGCAATTTTTAAGTTATATAATTTTGTAAAACCTAAATGGTTAAAATGTGATATCGTTTGCGAACTCTTTTAGGAGAAGTTAAAGTTATTAATGATTATTTAAAAAATATCTATTGCTTATTATATTTAAGACAAAAAAATATGTAGATCTGAAAATAATTTTGTTGGACTATTAAAATAATTATACAAAATTCGTAATAAGCGATTCTGCAAAAAATTTTATTTTTATGCTTCAGTAAAACCGTTTTTTTTCTATGTAAGCAGAACAACAAGTTGCGATAACGTCAAAATAACATTTTTTATTAGAAAAGTAATTTTTAATAATTATTTCGGAGCCATTTAGACAGAAATATATTTTGATATTATATTTTGATATTATCACTATGACTTTTTGTTCTATTTCCCAAAGAATACATCAAAAATAACTTTTGCCAAAAAATAAAATATAATCACAGTCAAAGTTTGATTGTGTTTATTAATATTAAAAATCAAAATAAATTCATTTTGATTTTTTGAGTTAACTTTTGTGTGTTTCCTTGAATTGAGTACCCAACGACATTTCACATTATAATTTTGTTTTTATCCATGATACGCATATTTAGGATATTCCTGGACAAGCTTATCTGATTAGAAGAGCCAAGTGCTTCATTCCAAGCAATGCAATCGCAAGAAAGGACTGCTCGACCGACGACGATAACGATACCCAGGAGTTCCATGTGAGATTTCGGCAAGATCCGCACGAGGCTGTTTCCACAAGTGAAATGCCTTTTATTATCGAGCATCACATTTTATGGTCTATTAGCTATAGCGTCCCAGTTCTCTTCTTCAATGGCTGGAAATCAGGTAATCCCAAACGACAGCTGACTTATAAAATATTTGAAAAATATCCATTACCTTCGTAGAAAGGGAAGGGGTTTATACTACAAAAATTAAGTTAAAGATTTTTTGAAAGGACGCGGCATGGGGCACCTTCTTGAAATTTTGTTTACGGGAATATGCACAGCTTGAAATTTGCGGTTGTCGGCTACTATACATTGGTGCTACCCTGCCTCGTATGCATCGTTTTATTGATTATAAACGCAAACGTGTCCGACTATTTCAATATTCGCGCAGATATGTCGACGGTATTAATTAATCCCAGTAACGCGTTTCGGTGGAGCGGAAATGCATCATGTCGTTTAGATTAATTAACACTGATCACCTTTTGTGTATTCATCATTGCGGGAAGAGACAATTGTCGTGAGACACGCGCATTCTTTTTTTTCAGCATTTTGTCCCTCTTTTTTTTAGATTTCCTCGGGATTAACCCAGTGAGCGTAAATGAGGCTCAAACGATCCATGGTTACAAATTAAATTACATGGAATTATCGCAAGCAATTCACCCTATCGTCGGCACGCCATTCCTGCAATTACATCCGTGTCTGTCCCAAGGGTTATTGCAGACCATGTCAAAGAGGTGAGAAACAGCAAGAAAATTAAGAAAAGAAATGAGAGCTACATCAAAGGAACTTTACACCCTTTTGAATAATTCTCGTAATTCATCACAACATAATTTTATAATTGCAGCAGGAATAAACTCGTCAGCTGGCTGAGCTGTATAGCATCCGCGGCCCTAAATCTCAAAATACATCCGGAATATTTCAAATTGACTCATTGAAGCCCAGATCGAACATTCGAAGGAACAATTCCTATAATATTAAACATCCTATTAAATTTTATTCATCCTATAATATTTTAGATCTTGTAAACCAGTGATGTGCAACCAGTATTCTTAATTTTCCAAAAAAATAAAATCAGAAAAAATCTGATTTATTTTATTTGCATAAAATGAAGAAAATGATTTTATATTTTTGATTATAACACATTTTATCCAAGAGACATCCTGGGATGTTCTCAGGACATCTTTAGGATATATCTTGGAGGTCTGTGCTATATCGTCGTGTCGCAAAAAATTCACAGACGGGCCACATGCAGGCCACAAGTTTGCGCATCACTGCTGTATAACCATTTCTACGAGCATTGTTCTTTATATTCCAACTTTACTGAAAGGAGGAAAATACAAGTCAAGATCTGTTTTCTGTAGCTGAACTAGTACTACACTTTTGGAACTTAAAGTAAAATAGATATATATGTTTAGTATTTGACGAAAGCGAGAAAGAAAGTTCTAGATCATTCTATACAAAACAGACCTATATTTTATTTTTCTAAGCTTGTCATTTAATTAACCGATGACTCATACGTCAAAGAAATTTTCCTGTAAGTACCTAAGCATGTTTCAAGAGATCACACCCTGTGTGCGGGAACGTCACCAATTGAGCGATTAGGCGCGAATAATTCTAGTCACGAATATTCGACGATTCGAGTGGAATTCGTTCGCGGTTGTCGACAACGGCATGGCGGATCTAGCGTTGACCCATGGTGGGCCGAGCAAATTGCTCGCAATTGGGCAGCATTTCGAGTGCGCGCGCGAGAGGGGAAGCGGAGGGCAAAAAAGGTTACAGCGTGGAAAAGAGAGCAATTAACGCGACCGCGCGCGCGCGGCAATTAGTCCGCACAAGGACGCATTTGCGTGCGGCCCCGGGAATATTCGTTCACGACGAATGCGCAGTTTTCGTATGCGCGCAAGTACGTACAGTCGACGACGTTAACGGTATCCGGTATAGGGCGGTTAACACCACTTCTCGCCAATTTTATTTACGCTGTTCGCGAACGCGGGCAATGATTATTGAACCGTACAATTAATTGCATAAGCGAAATGTAAATCTGAAGTATGAGGAAAAGTCCAAATGTAAAAAAATAAGAGACTGAAGATGTTATTGATGACACGATTAATACTATTAATATTAAAGAAGTAGGTATCCCAAGTAGAATAATAATTAAGTCACGGTAATTTCGCATTGACATTAAAAATGATTGAAAATGATATTTAATAATTATTCTGGAATCATTTTGACATCATTTTGATATTATAATGACTTGTTCTGCTTAGGTATTGAGCGGTCATTATTGACCGTTTTCATTTTTTAGATATATTTTCATTAAAAAATAGGATTCTAAAATTTGTTAATTTTTTAATAATAATTATATATAAAAATATTATTTTATAATGACAACTTTGGTTTTTCATCACTTTCTTTATTTTTATAATATTTTGTCTTTTTATTAATGGTCACATATATGCCAATATTAACAAATATACACATAAATGACATACATAATTATTCATATCGAATATAATTAATATTTAGCAAATGTGTATAATGTTGACCTATACATTGGCTATATCGTCTAAAGGTGCCTTAAGAAGTGTTAGTGGCCAAGGAACTTTGGTTTTTCATCACTTTCTTTATTTTTATAATATTTTGTCTTTTTATTAATGGTCACATATATGCCAATATTAACAAATATACACATAAATGACATACATAATTATTCATATCGAATATAATTAATATTTAGCAAATGTGTATAATGTTGACCTATACATTGGCTATATCGTCTAAAGGTGCCTTAAGAAGTGTTAGTGGCCAAGGAAAAAGGTCAACAAAAATGACTTAATTTTGGTTCTTATAATGTCAATAAACAGTCAAATTTTATGAGAAGATAATCACTTAATATAATTGTGGGATAGAATCTCCGAAATCATTATAAAATTTGTATGATATAAATCCCAATGTATACTTACATATGCAACTATGAGAAATAATTGTATGATATTAGATAAAAATCAATCATTGTACCAAATAACTTTATACATAGTGAAGAAAATTATTTGTCATCAAATGAAATCATGTAATCTGTGGGACAATATTTCAGCTAGTGGTTACCCTCTTGAAATTTTATAATCAAAAATCATTTTAACTTTCATGACGTAAAAATAAAGTCATTTTCTTTCGATTTCTTTCCTTGAATGCTTCTAATATCGTTGATACAGTTGATTGTAAGGCAACGCACCCATCCTCACGAACTCGCGCTCGTATATACGCGTATTTCGCGTCGTCGTCGCACGCGTGCCAGCGGTTCTCAACCCCGCTGAGTGGACACTTCGCCGCTCGGTGGACACTTGCCGATTAATAATCCCGTTAGCCCTGTCCTCCGAGTTCGGCCCGTGTGACGAGTGTCCGCTTCATGATACACGTGCCGCTTTAAATTACTCTAGCAAATGTACGATGTTATTCATGTGCAACCTCCATTCGGCTAACTTTCGCATAAAAAGAAAAAAAAATGTCGAGGTTCTTCTTTATTCTCAGTAGCGAAAAGGAGGGAATGGGAGGGTTGAAAGTGTGTTTCGACTGAATGGGGCAACTTGATCTGTTCGATACTTCGGGAGAATAATCGAAGTAGCCTTTGTATGTAACATAGGTCGCAAATCGGACAACGCACCAACTTCCCATTTGTCAGACTTAAATGACGCTTGTTAATGTCGACTAGATATTTCCGTTATCATGAACTGAAAGATCAGATTACTCCCGTTAGAAAGAACAGTCATCTCGTTTTCATACAGTTATTAAATACTATTTATTCAATATTATTTATTTATATGACTTTTTTAAATAATGAATTGATATTTATCAAACCGACTTTACTTTATCGTGAAAAATTATCATGTTGCAATAAATTATT